CTTGAATATTTTATCTACTATATCTAAAACATAATTTGCCTATCAGTGCGCGGATGCACTGCCATGTCTGGGTTCTGCAACGTTATTAATGTTCAAAAGTTTGATAAGTAATTCATTGTGGAAATACCCTGGCTTTAGCTGAGTTTGATTAATCCACATACGTTTGAAAGTCAGATGAAAAATCCAGCACGAAAATGTGCTTACGACTTTCCGATAGTGAGGCGAAAACCGACCGTGACTTCTGAATGTTATTACCGACGATACCTAATTAGTCTTTTATTTTATCACACTCACCTTAATTGTACTTTGATTGTCTATGTCCACATTGTGCAGCTGTTGTTCTAAATCGTTCGGGTTAACACGTTTCATTTAATGATTCAATGTCAGAAAATTAAATGTAGAGCGATTATTTTTGCAGTATACCCCGTTGACTCAAGCTCGAGTTGATCAATTTAATTTTCAGTGTAAATCCTAAGAAGCCACAAGCAAATGTCAATTCCCCAATTACGTGTACTCTGCCGATGTGTGGCCTTCAAGATTAAGAACTATCGTTGTGTGGGCCTGTCGACGCTGATCGTAGTAGGTAACGATCTGAGAGCAGAAATGACGTTCTTAAGAATGGCGCGATGACGCGCGAAATTCCGCTTGTTTCCGTTCTGGGTTGAGGGTGGCTGAATGGGGCTAGGGCTCGGTCACCAGATTAGCACTAGCCCTGTGTTGTTTCTATGTCATCATGTCCCTGCTCGTCATGTGCTGCAGCAAACAGATTCCAACTGTTTTCTTGTTGCACTTAGTGATTGTATTAGTTACAGAAATGGTCCGTGATTGACCGGCAAACTACCAAACTACTTTGTGCTGTTTCTATGTCATGCTGTCCCTGCTCCTCATGAGCTGCAACAAACAGATTTAAACTTTTTTTGCACTCGGTGCTTGTATTAGTTTCAGACATGGTCAGTGATTGGCCGGCTAACTTTACTGTGTATTTTTAAGAGCTCCTTAGCTTGGGTGCAGAAACTGCAGATATTATATGTGCCTTTTTTGTCCGTAGAGCTTTCTAAAATCATTTTTCAGAAATGATGATTTCTCAAAGTTGTCAACTGTACCACGGTCATTCATTCCATTTTTTTATCAGCCAGCTTTTGACACCCTTGCTCTTTTTTGATCTTAAGTATTCTATAGAGGCAATAAATCTCTGTATAATGGCTACGGGCCTGCGAATGCAACTCTAGAGGAGCTGTGACCTGCAGCAGGTTTGGTTGCTGACTGCAAATGTAGCTATAGAGGAGCTGTGACCTGCAGCAGGTTTTGTTGCCGTCTGGGAGCGGGGAAGAGGGGGTAGGTCCATAGGGAGGCCTGTGCCCGAAAGCTCACCGGAATGAAGGAGCGTCTAAGTAACGGCACTCGCCTCAGCCTCCGCTATCTCACTTGCTTTTATGGCACTAACGCAGTTTTTGGCTGCACGGCTGCCTTCAACAATACGCCTGCATGGTTGTGAATGATTTAATGATGTTTCATCTGAATCATCATGTGCCAAGTTATATCTGCGACTGGATAAGCTATAATGAGAATGAATTGAACTGCCTTTTCTCTGCAATATGTTCAGCTACATTAACGTCAATGAAGTCACTGTTATCATGTAAACAGTGCACGGTTCACGACGGCGCTCAATCTCGCGCACGTTTCAGTCCTCACAAAGACGAACCTTGTTCATTAAATGAGTATTTACGCACTGCACTCGCATGTTTGATCGTGGAAAGACCACGTGCTTCTTGCCACGGAACTTCTTGGTCTACTAATGAGCCGAGACAAAGCCAACTGCCGTGAGATAAAGAACTTGTGTGCATGAGGTCAAGGTCCAGACTTTGATCGCTCATCTCACGTACTATTACCGTTGCGCCAAATGGAAGCTTTTTTTTTTGCTCGTGAATTTTTTAAAATTTTTTAGTTATTACAGCAATCAGCCATTTGTTCCTTATGAAAGGGAATGGTGGTGAGCTGCCCTATGTATGGCTGCTATTAGGGCTGAATCGTTCTCATATAAATAGGTGGTCAACACAAGCTAGCTGCAGTTTCCCGCATGTCCTGCAGACCATGGTACGCACAGTTAATATTGACGTAAAGTTATCAGCAGGGCGGTAAACTGGAGAGTTTCTAGGGGTATTTGTGTTTGACTTCCTTGGAAGTTACTCGTAGCGTTGGCTTCTCGGTTGCTGTGGTGATGTGGAGGCCCACATATCCTGATCTGCCCAGATCATTATTTGGTATTAACATGCTCAATCATTCTCGTATAATTCTAACTTTCGTTATAGGTTATCGGTAATATCACAGCTGTAACTATTCTATCTGCCTCAGCTATAGTGCGCTGATATAAGTATGCATTAACGCCAGCAAAAATATGATTCTCAACATTAACTTGACCGATCGTCTGGTTAATGATCATTGCGGGATTTGGAATCTGGAATAATTGTATATTTTTAAACTTAATGCATAATTGAGACTTGCTGCATGATTGAGAATTTTGAATGATTATATCAAACCGCATGTCTAATATTTCTTCTGCATGACTTAGACTTCTTCTGTATACAGACTTTCTGCAGGGAGACTTCTGAATGATTGGGCCTTGCTGCACAATTTCGACTCGCCGCATGAATAACTTTTGAATTCCCTCTTTAGTTATGACTTTGAACATATGATTCCTTCTTTAGTTATGACTTTGAACATATTATTCCCTCTTTAGTTATGACTTTGAACATATGATTCCCTCTTTAGTCGAGAATGTGTAAGCCAAGGAAAGCTCACCTAAGAAGACGTCGTGCCGGGAGCGCCGTAAGCATGTCTACAGCGGAGTGCTAAACCGGTTCTTGGGACAGCCACGGTGGCGGTGGTGGTGCAATACACGTAGAAAAATGAGAGAATTCCTCTAAATTGCGATGCACATTTTGTCCTTATGTGTGTCATCGTGGTCCAGTTTGGCCGGTATAAGGACATATCAGTGCTATGTGAAAAAATGTCGGTATTTGTGTAATGTGATATACAGATATATAGGTTTCATCTACACCATTTTTTCGGGCGCTATGGCTTGGGACTTGACTATCTGGCTGTCAGTTATTATTTATGTTAATGAGAAGACATTGTTCATGTTTGCCAAACTCGACTATTCCCTATAGTATATAATTCTAATTTTTCGAATGGTGAAAAAGTTTCAAGGGGCGATAATATTTATCAAGATATTAGCTTCGCTTTTAACAATACAGGGTGCACTCATGCATACAAAATCCTGCCTTAGGGTGCAATGAAGAATTTTTTGCCAGGAAGGTATGGAATTAAAATACGAATGATCCCTTATTACATAATCGCCGGGGGGCGCATGGGAAGCGTATAGGGCGCCCGAGAAGCGTATAGGGCACGCATGAGAAGCGTATAGGGCGCATGAGAAGCGTATAGGGCGCATGAGAAGCGTATAGGGCACGCAGGCTGTCTGGGGTGAGAGCGTAGCTACTTGGCATGCGAGGTCACGGCAGTCGCACGTGTCAGATGACAAGCCAGCCGCTCATATCGTGTTGCTCGCAAATTTCGTTTTCAACGTTTCTGGAGACGAACGTTCCAACACGCTCCACTCCAAGAATGGTTGACCTAGAAACAAGTGACGAACGTGGCTTCTTTTCTTACGAGGTATAACTTTTTTTCTTTATTTTAAATACAACACAAATTGGTCACAGAGGGCTGGACTGGGATCCTTTTATGTGAACGAGTGCTTGGTTCTGAAGAAACTTTTTTCGCTAGCCAATTTTTATATGTAATCAATTGAGTTTTTAAATGGAACTATCGATAGGCTGTACTGCTAGTGTAGTATCTACTCGCTTTATTATCGCAATGTAGCGAGTAACCGGCACAATTTTCTGAAATTCTGTTGGGAAATTTACTTTCTTTAGACTCGAGATGAAGCGAGTAACATGCGTTATTATCTTGTGTAGTAAGAGAAGGCAGCGCATAACTTTCACTGCGCCCGCCACGCTCGGCTGGCTGGACTTCCTCGCTACTCTCTCTTATATGGAATGCTTTCGCGAGTGCAAAGTAGCTGAGAGTGCAACTAAGTTGTGACAAAATTGAAAACGTAATCCTCGTATTCAGTCACCGACAAATCTGAACAAAAGTTTTTTTTTATTGAACTATACATATATGTACTGTTTGCCTCGGCTTCATTGATCAGATTGATGCAGTGATACCCTGTCCCATATAATTCATTGTCAATGCACAGTGCACCAAGCTGTGATTGCTCTGATAAGATACCCTGCAAGATTACCTTCACAGCAGTTATGCAAGCTTGTTATTTTGACACTTGCTGGAAGTTTTGTCGTCGTTCAACTTGTTATTGTTGAATTTACTATCATCGTTGAATTTGATATCGTTGAACTTGATATCGTCGTTGAACTTGATGTCATCGCTGCACTTGTTTTCATCTTTGAACTGGTAATCATCTTTGAAATTGTTACCATCGATGAACTTATCATCGTTGCACTTATTATCATCGTTGCACTTGTTATCATTGTTGCACTTATTATCATCGTTGCATTTGTTATCATCGTTGCACTTGTTATCATCGTTGAACTTGAACTTATTATCATCGTTGCACTTGTTATCATCGTTGAACTTGAACTTGTTATCATCGTTGCACTTGTTCACATCGTTGATCTTGTTATCGTTGCACTTGTTACAATGCATACAACTTGTTCCCATTGTTGAATTTCTTAACATTGTTGAACGTAGTAATATTATAGAGAACAGAATTCGTTATTTATTCTCTGTGCGTTTAGCCGGCGGCGAGCAGGTGCTAAGTGGCGTCGGCCTGACCTCAATGCCGCTGAGCTCACGCCGGACCCGTTACTGCCGCCGCTGACCTCGCGCGTGTGGCGTCGTGCTGGACGTGTGTGGCGTGTGCTGGACGTGTGTGGCGTGTGCTGGACGTGTGTGGCGGCGAGTGTTGGCGGCATTGTGGCGTACTACTGGGTGAAAATTGTGGCGGTAATGTGGCTGTCGTGTGGACCACAAGTGTGGCCGTCGTGTGGACCACAAGTGTGGCTGTCGTGTGGACCACAAGTGTGGCCGTCGTGTGGACCACAAGTGTGGCTGTCGTGTGGACCATAAGTGTGGCTGTCGTGTGGACTACAAGTGTGGCTGTCATGTGAACCACAAGTGTGGCTGTCATGTAAACCACAAGTGTGGCTGTCGTGTGGACCACAAGTGTGGCTGTCGTGTGGACCATAAGTGTGGCTGTTGTGTGGACCACAAGTGTGGCTGCTGTGTGGACCACAAGTGTGGCTGTCGTGTGGACCATAAGTGTGGCTGTTGCGTGGACCACAAGTGTGGCTGTCGTGAGGACCACAAGTGTAACGTACATGATGCGTGCGCACGCCACAGCGCATTCATGCTTCAGAACACGTTACAAGCATTGAACAACGTATACTTCTTCGTTCAACACTCGCTTATGTCACTCTTAAACTCGTGTTACTCCAGGAATATTAGTTTATTGATAGATTTTCTCTTGCTTTTTTTCGAAAATTCTTCCTCTTAGCTAGCACTAGACCAGAAAATTATAACTGCAAAGTAAAAAGTAATTTTAAGTTGAGCTGAGCTGTGAAGTGTGAACTGAACTTGAAGTGAGCAACAGATGCGTGATAGCCAAGATGTTGGCGTGCGTGTTGATCGCGTGCGGGAAATTACATGGAAACGAGTCTCGGAGGACGCTCACTTCTGGTCCTGTACTGACCAATTTGTCGTACGAGTCTCTCATTGTTGACCAAAAGTATATGCGTGAGTCTCGTGCGGGCATCAGTGCGGAAAATATCATGGAAAAGGCTTCCTTCTGAGCAAATAGTACATATTTTTACGAGCATTTGGGTTATTTTTAGCGCATTTTCTCATTTATGGAAAAAAGGCGCTATTGTACTCGTCGTGTCCGTCCGTCCTTCTGTCTGTCTGTCCGTCTGTCTAGTCTGTCTGTCTGTCTGTCTGTCCGTCCGTGACTTCACGTTCTCGTCGACGAGAAAAAGCGCTCTCTGTCATTCACTGCAGTGAGTACTGAGTTATATTTTTACTATAACAAAAGTTTAAACGATGGTTAGTTGTGCGGCTCATTGGATTTGCTGCGTTCTCTTGAAAATAATCTTGTGCTTTGTAATTTTGATCGAAATGCTAAAACTTGTATTTTTCTCGATATTTGAGCTGTTGCTACTCGATAGAATGGATAAATTAATTTTCATAACTTTATCTTCAAGGTGTTTTTAGTACCATTGGGCTTCAGTAACCTGTTGATTTATATACATGTTAGTTAGGGCTGTTTTTTTACTTGTTGAGAAAATTGCAGAAGTTTATGCCACTGAAAATCTTTTGATACCTCTTTTTGCCTGTCAGCAAAAAGCCAGGCGAGGTAGGTACTCATTTTAACCTCATTTTAACCTGGTAGGTACTCATTTACCTAGACCTGGTACTCATTTACCTGGTACTTATTTACCTTACCTAGATCTCATCCTGGCCAGGATGAGATCTAGGTAAGCAAAACTGTCGTGGTTGCCAGGCTTCTCCTGCGATCGTGGGAAGGGAAGCTGCGTGACGCAGCGCTGTATCATTTGAAGCTCGTGACCTGCCTCGTGACCGCGTGTGGGAGCCCAGACCTGTCATGTCGCAGCGCAGCCAGCGAAGAGTTGAGATAACTTCCACGATCTGGAGTACGAACGATTAAATTCCATGAAGAAACTTATCAATATTATACTGCTTGTGTCTTGGTGAAAGACATGCTCCGTGACCACGTTTGGGAGACGTCATCCGTCATGTCGACGCAAGCAGCGGAGTTGAGATAACTTCCACGATCTCGAGTACGAACGATTAAATTCCGTAAAGAAACTTATCAATATTATACTGCTTGTGTCTTGGTGAAAGACATGTTCCGTGACCGCGTTTGGGAGACGACATTCGTCATGTCGCGATGCAAGCAGCGGAGTTGTAAAACTTCCACGATCTGGAATACGAACGATTACATTCCATAAAGAAACTTATCAATATTATACTGCTTGTGTCTTGATGAAAGACATGTTCCGTGACCGCGTTTTGGAGCCGAAACCCTGGGCGGAGTTGTAAAACTTCCACGATCTGGAGTACGAACGATTACATTCCATAAAGAAACTTGTCAATATTATACTGCTCGTGTCTTGGTGAAAGACATGCTCCGTGGCCGCGTTTGGAAGCCTAGACCTGTCATGTCGCGGCGTAGCCAGCGAAGAGTTGAGACAACTTCCACGATCTAGAGTACGAAGTTAGGAACGATTAAATCATCTGTAGAAACATATAAATTATGTTGCTGCTAAGTTTCCGCTCTTGTCCAGCTAAAAGCCCTGGTGCGTGACCGTGTGTTGGTGCTAAAACTTGGCTCAGACAGAGGCGAGTTGAGAAAATTTTCAGGATCTGGAGTAGAAACGATTGAATTCCTTGAAGAGTTTATAGCTATCAATATTGATATTATTAATGAACAATCTCAATTTGGCAAATTAATTTCTAATGAGAGATAGATTATTGGCAACCGATTTCATGGCGAGGTAGAAACGTACGCGCATGATGTGGATAGTTAGGAATGAAATTAATTAAAACCCCATAGATTGTTCACAAATTTCCAATACCCTTTCCAGACTAATTATATGAAATCCATATTACATAATTTTATTCGTAAATGCTCATTGAGTGTCAGAGGATTCAAGAAATTTCTTTACAATTAATATTGTGAAACGACTCTTCTACCAGTCCAGCAACGACCAGCCAACGTTTCGCGCGGCCAAGCAGCTATGAGTGCGGTCAATCAACTTCCTCCGTAGCTCCAGAAACTCGAATGCAATTTCTCCTTTCTTTCACATTTCTTGGTTTAGAAATGACGTAGGTACTTCGTTTAGCGAGGTTTTGACATTACCTTTATTTCTTGTTCTTTTTTAGCTCTATTTATGAAGTATGCAAAAAATTATTAGAAACTAGAACTGTTCAGGTAGTGTTTTGATAATTTTTTGATTTATTATACATCTTTCCCTAGTCATCTAGTCGATGTTAGAGTCTAGAGTGCGATAAAACAGAATTGCTACGTAGATTATTGTATTGTACGTAACTAAGTTATTTTTCAAGTCATTGTGCCAGCTTACCTTTTATTCAAGAATTTCCCAAACCTATTTATTTTGACACATCGAATCATTGATTTACCAGCGCAATTTTTATTTCAATAAAGCGGTGCATGGTGCTGTGCTGGGGTTTCAAGAAAATCTCAATTACGGTGGCTCCAAAATTTGCTCACCTTGTTACCAAAGAAAACATTTCCACGAAAACCCTGTTATCTCGTTCTTAAACGCTGTCGTTATTGATATATTTTTGGCTAAGTCAAACTATTACCTTATCCGTTGTAAATTAATTAAAACCCCAACTCTTGCTCGATCATCCCTCCATTCCTCGGTCTGAGGAATGTGTCGCGGCAATCAGTTGCTGCTTTGCGTGCATCGCCGCGGCTGCCCTAAGGCAACTCAGCGGCCTTGCGCTTCAGTGCCTGTCTCGTTCAGCTCCACACCTTGATTTTTTTCACCGTGTCTTTCATTTTTGGCTCATGGACAATGGAGGTTTGGTCTCAATGCTCCCTGAAACTGCGGATTGTTACGTTGCTCAATTTTGGCTGCGAGATTTTTGTCATTTAAATCAAACACGATTTCATGAACTCGTACCAAGCTAAAGTTTTCGGACGTTCTAGTAAATACGTTCATCAATTATGTGGTGCTAATAGGTTTCGATTTGTTAGTCAACTACACCTTCAACAAAATATTTAAATGAGTATGTCCTTGAATTATTGCATTTGGTTTCGAAGCCGGTATAAAAAAAAACTTCGCCACGACGTGGCGTTTAGTTGACCTCTATGCAGCGCTTGTGCCAGTCAAGCAGGAGCCATTTGATTCCGAGGGCTGAAAAAACTGGTTCTTTTGAATTAGGAGAACTGAAGTAGTTATGGCCAATGCACTGCAGTACACAATGTAATGCAGTACACTGGTGACGAGAAATCTCACACGGCTCATTAATGTTTGTTAACGATGTTAACGTTGTTAACAATGTTAACGTAACATTAACGTCGTTAATGTTAACGTTGTCGTATTTGATGTGATGGTGTTAAACAGTTAAAAATGTTCGGATAAAGTTAAAACAACTACCGTTTTGTTTTAACTGAGTTTATAAGCTGATGACGTCGTAACAATAAATACGTGCACTGAGTTTGCGTATTATTCATAGTATTGATAGACTATTGCAGGGTGTTCTTTCTCATGTGAGTATTCCGTGTTCGGCTGAGATATGTTCCTGTGCATCACATGTTCCTGTATGTTGTTCACATTGATCACTATTTAAGCTTTAAGGCGTGTTTCAGCACTCCCTCACACTTACCTATTATGAACCGCTGTCGTGCCGGAACTCCCAGCCCCGCGCCCAACACGTAAACTTTTGGATCATTGCGCTCGTATTTTACGAACTTGTGTTCCCTGTGAAGCTAATTATTCGAACGATTATTTTTGGGCAAGTTTGAATCAATGTGCTGATATATCAATATGTAGTGCCAATAGGTTTCAATTCTTCTATTAACTTGAACATGAATGTTGATACATTCGAAACGTCGTTAAATATATTATTATTCCTTGTTGCTACGTGCTTTTTTTTGTTTTATTGTCGTCTTCTGAATTTTTTTTGTTTGCTGCCTGGTGTATTATGCTTTCTTTTGTTGGTGGTTATTCTTCGTTGTTTTTTCAACAAAATTTTGTGCTCTCTTTTTCTTATATCAATATTTCCTCCTGACCCTCCACTGTATTATTCATTCGAATTTCAAATAAGAAGAATTTCTATAACGCCTGCACGATGTTGTGGTCTTGGTATCCTTGGTCTGCTCTATACTAAGTGACCTTCGCTGTAAGGAGAAAGAACTTCTTCATTCGGAAGAAAGTAGAGGAAGTCTGCTAACTAGGTACTCATCTAGAGGCCTGCTCGACTGCGGCAATGAGTTTGTCGGAAACGAGAAAAAGGCGTAGCTGGCGTGTTTGATGTGTTGCAAGCTCGGCTTCCGGGGGAAGGCAATCAAAACCTCTACTGATGAGTGGCGTCAGCCCTAGCTTTCCTACCTCCTCAATGGCGTCGCTGTGAAACTGATGCCTATGCATTAGTTTACTATGAACTGCATGTTGATGTTAGATTATGAACTTTATCTGCCTATACTAACATCATAGCCTATGCACATACTTCAAGTTATTTCAATGCTGATTACTATAAGTATTTGTGCCCTTGCTTTATTCTTTATTGCATCGAATTTTCTCCTATTTGGCCAAGGCGATATTCGAGAAGAGTGTCAGAAACTGTCGCCCTGTTGTTCTGATTATGTGACACCTTTGGGTGACTTTATAGTTTGTGTACTTCTATGCACAAAGACGATGTTATTATGAGCGAATCATTCAATTGATGGTGAAAATGTTGAAGATTGTATCTCGACCTTATTTATTACTCGTTTTCGTTTCGTTTTCTGTCATGGAAGTTCCGCTATTAACTCCTTTCCGAAACATCCGCCATGCATGTTCCCTGCTTCCTCAATTCTACGGACGGAGCGAGTCAATAATTGTTGCGGCATTAAATTAAGCTTTCGACTTCTCAATTGCTATTCATCTCTTCCAACTCCATTGATTTCCGCAATGATGTTTTCCGATTGAATATTCTTTCAATTCAATAACATCTGTTAATGAGGCAAGGTAGCAAATTTTGGAACTTAAATATATAACATAGAGACTGTATTAAAACACCACTTGGAGCATTCATACTATTCAAGTCATGGAAATTATCTACAAAATCAATTATTTGATAGCAAAGAAATCGCTTGAAAATTTGCCACTTGCATATATGCATAGTTCAGCTCAAAAGTTGTTGGTTAAAGACTGCTCCATCCGTCAGAATTCGGTTTTACTTAGTAACCGAATTTTCGTCATTACACACAAAAAAAGTCGAGGCAAACCTTCTCACTGTGCACTGAAGCTCAGAGATGTATTAGCTCCAAGCGAACAATAGTCGTCTTGAAAAGCCTTCAATTTACAAAGGAGTAGCCCCGTTTTCCAGCATTGCAACGCGAACAGGTTTATCATAACAATGCGCAAAGCGTTTCATCATTACTACACGTAGTAGTGTTTCACCATTACAAGGCGCCGTGATTCACCATTACAACGCTCCGTATTTCACCATTACAACGCTTCGTGTTTCACCATTACAACGCTTTGTATTTCACCATTACAACGCTCCGTATTTCACCATTACAACGCTCCGTGTTTCACAATACAACGCTCTATTTTTCATCATTATCACTCCGGGTATTCATTTTTCTGGGCACGCGCTTCGCGTATCGTCGTATTGCGGGGGTTGGATTCCCGAATATAATTACCAGTATGCCAAACTCTTAGTCAAGCACTTTTCAGAATAGAAATAAACATTATCTATGTATTTATTTAATAATTCTCAAAATAATGAGGGTTACACGACTCTCCGTTAATGTACACTTGAAAATGATCGCGTCGTATGATGAACTTTTCCGAAATTGCACTGAAGTCGCTACTTCGCTGTCAGTGGATCAGATGTCCGGAAGTGATTGTGTCCTGTTAAATCTAGTAGTCATTCATCATTAGGGTCAAAATTAAACTTTTTTTTAATTACGCGTCACCTCAATATTGTTTGACGGCTCTGCTTCCTGGTTTGCCAACTCAAAATCAAGTTGGCCTACAGAAAGTCTGTTGGCTAGTACGCCTCCGCCTGAATTAAAATATTCATGGTTTACGTGACGTTAATGAGTTAAGACTTTGGCGCGTGCTCAAATAAATGGAATATGTTATTTAATCAGTGGATGACAAGGCAAGCGTTATTAAAGTGTTCCAACGATTCAAAGTTTCATGTCAGAAGATGAAAAATCTGCATTTTACCTTTTTCAGCTGGTATCTTAGTTGTTTAACCTTCTATTGCCCAGTTTGTGTTTAATGGAGTGCAGCCTTTATGACTTTAATGTTGTCGTATGTTATTTATTTGCCGGTAAAGGTTGTTCCCACGGCGCCACCTTTACTGAGACATTACAGGATAAGTCGTGCGCTGTAACTGTCAAAACCTTGAGAACCCTTCAGAGGGGTGACAGCCGCCCGACCCCTACTGCTATCAGCGTGAGCCCTGCGTGAACCTTACGCGTGGTGCTGCTGGTACTGATGATGCTTAAGTTGGCACTGATGCTGGTACCGATGCTGCAGGAACTGCTTGTGATGCTGTCTTCTCCTGATGCTACTGTTTGTGACGTTTCTGATGCCGTTACTACTTCTTATGCTGCTATACTACGGTACTACTATTGTTGGTGATGCTAATATATCTATCCTTGCTGCTGTTGAAGTCTGTGGTCTCTCAGATGTACGAAAACTCGTCTTAATCATCAAATTTGTGGCTTTAAAATTCATTTTTACTGTTATTTTTCTTACTATGCTGCCCAATTTTGATTCAAGTATATATTCCAATGATAATTGATGTGATATTTTTCACATCGACCCACTGACATTATTTTGTTTTACGATCTTTGAAACAATTCTGGTAATTCAAGGCCCTCCGACAAAACTATTCAGAGTTTCGGTGCATGATTAGGTTTTAGTGGTGGCACTTGGGGTGTTCATCATTTTGTTGTATTCAAGTGTAGGAAGTACAGTGATCAAAATTGAAGTAACTGAAACTCAGTTGGAGATGATTCTGTACGAGTTACCGCCTAATTTTTAAAGATTTAGGTAAATGAAATTTGTTTATTTACTATATTTATAATTATATTATTTATTTATATTTATAATTAACTTAAGGACCGGTTGTTAAAGTATTTTAAAAGATACTGTCAATTTAAGTGGCTTTCCCAAGCAAGGACATCTCATTAGTATAGTGTCAGTAAAAGTGGCTTTTTACCTTCAAATATTGCCTTGAAAATATCGCCGATAAAAGTGACGCGGTCGAGTTTTAAAAGTATTGACAGGTTACACTATCTACTCTACGGTAGATCGAAAACTCAAATCGCGCTAAGAATAATTTCGTCTTCTAAAAAAAGCTGGCTTGTACTGCAGGTTTCACTTTGTGTTCTCGGGGCTTGGGACGTGAGCATATCAGCAGCCTGGCATCTGATTTATAGCTTTCCCTAACATCCGCCCTGCCTTCTGCCTCGCAATCGCAAGACGAGCCATTGCATTCTAACATGACGAATGTGCTACGCGATTCAGGATCCAGGTTATCAAGATGTTTCATTGCTCGCGCCATCAAACTTTTCTTGAATCGCAGTTTTTGTAGACATTCTATGCAATCAATCTCTTGCGTAGGTCTTGAACGCATTTTAAAAATGAAATGCAGGTGCATGTGCTTCGAAAATTGCTATACTCGGGTTTTACTGTTTTTTGTTGTATAAATGAGAATTTTTTTGTCGTAATCGTTTTCTATCGTGAACTTATCATTTTTTGGGGGGCTAATGATTCGACTAAATTTCTAATTCTAAACGTCAGCATTAGTTTATTATTGCAATTTTTCCAATCAGTTGTTGAATTAATATTTAAGAATGTTTTTATTGTAAGCTTTGCAGACGCCTATATTGCGATAAACACTCATAATTTAGTTCGTTTTAACCTCATGAATTACTGTTTCAAAAGGTGCGTCGTGACATTACACCACTGCATAAACACTGACACCAATATCGAGAAATATTTTTATTTTAATGATGAATATTTTCGTGTTTGTGTGTAAAGACACGAAGACAAATTTAACGGAATTAACCGTTGTTATATTGCGTAAGGAAAATATTATACCGAAAGATATATATTGTTGACCATAACTAGAAAGTGTAAGCACTCTTTTCTATGTAAATCATAACGAATTGAAAATCTTCGATTTTGGTAGCAAAAAATTTCTGATCATGAGTTCTGTAGACAATCCGGGTGTAGTTATTATATTTATCGTGTAATATTTCCATTAACCGTATTTATTTAGCAAATAAATAGTGTATTACTTCCATTGATTGAATTTATTTCGTTTGTTTATGGTGTACTTATACTATAATTATTCTATGCCGTGAGTATCTTACAATTTGTGGTGTAACTTTTATGTTTGGTGCAGATTAATCATAAAGTTATCTCGTGTATATGAATCATAAGTTTTATAACGTCTATAGTCGATATTCCAGTGGGCGACGGTTAGTGCAGATTAATCATAAAGTGAGATAACTTTATAATTATTATTATACGGTACCGGTATATGAATCATAAGTTCCATCATAAGTTCTATCATCAGTTCCATCATAAGTTCCATCATAAGTTTTGTAACGTCTATGGTCGATATTCCAGTGGGCGGCGGGGTGCGTTAGCGCGGCCCCCCGAGCGCGGTTGTCCCGATGAGGTCGAGCGTGAGTGTCATCCTATCAAGCCCTCCACCCGACACTACCATGAGCTACCCTGACTACCAGGCACACCCCCACCACCACCGCTCCCTCCTGGTGCTAGTCGCACCTCTAGGTGAGTACCTACCACCCGACACTACCATGAGCTACCCTGACTACCAGGCCCACCCGCACCACCACTGCTCCCTCCTGGAGTCCTGGTGCTAGTCGCGCCTCTAGGTGAGTACCTACCACCCTACACTACCATGAGCTATCCTGACTTACTATGGTTGTTGAAGATATATTTTTTTCTTGTTTTCTTCGTGTTGTTTTTATCGTGTTTTATTTTCTTTTCTGCTCGCTGAACCATTAGGTTAGTAGATGGGTACTAAAAACTCACTGAGTTATCGAGAAAATACTTTCAGTGAATAAATAAACAAAATAACACTGATCTTTATCATGTATTTCAAATCTATTCTTGTTTCGCTCGCTTATGTATACTCGTATATCAATATTCTACTGCATGTATGTATTATGTGTATGCATGTATATATTATTTACACACGCGCGATCGGTGACCAGAGAATTCGTTGATTTATATTATCAGTGAGTGGAACTTTCCTTCAGATGACGTTCCACCCCCTGATAATATAAATCAACGAATTCTCTGGTCATCGATCGCACGTGTGTAAACAAGTAAATCCTTACATCTAATAAAAAGTATATATTATTGTGTATGTTATAGATGTTTACGTGCGGCCCGTTAATGATCATGCGTGTTATATTGCACAGGCACGCGCGTCAAGAGCAAGTCGTTCCAGCAGCTGCAATCCTGCAGTCATATATCCTGCAATCCTGCAGCCATATATTCTGCAATCCTGCAGCCATAAATGCTCATGCGTGTTATATTGCACAGGCACGCGCGTCAAGAGCAAGACGTTCCAGCAGCTGTACGAGCGCATCAGCCGCGTCAACCAGCTCAAAGTCAGCGACTCAGGGGGCACGCAGCGCCCTGTATGGGTGTCTTACCGCCGCGACTATCCCGTCGAGAACAACGACTGGGGAGACTTCCAGACACATCGACGACTGCTTGCCATCATCACCATCGGTCAGTGTCGCACATATTCATAGTTAGGCTGTGAAATTTAAATAATAGGCTGTGAAATATTCATGTTTAGGCTGTGAAATTCAAATCATAGGCTGTAAAATATTCGTAGTTAGGCTGTGAAATACAAATCATTGGCTGTATAATATTCAATTGATTGATCGAAAAAAATCAATCAATTGTAAAATTGATTTCCGTGAAATTTAAATGATGCCGTGAAATCTTCATGGTTTGGCTAAGAAGTTATTGGGTGAGCAGTTTTGAACGGGTAGAGTGGATTTTGAGTTACCATGTTGCACTTTTTTCTTTATATTCCACTAAGGTTATCAGTTTAGATGTAGCTTTCAAAATCGGCTTATTGATCTTGATTAAGCGGCTTGGCATCTTCATTATTAGACTGTATACGTCTTANTACGTCTTACAGTACATCTGACCTCCATTTGTTATCTCTATTTGTAAAAGTAACATAAAGATTAAATAAAGATTTGATTTTGTTCATTCTAGTTTTGCTTAATGGATGTCATTCATGTAGTTGCTTTGGAAGTAATTCCTTGATAATGAGGAAGCAGGAAGGTAGTGTGAACCTAAGCTCTGTTCTCTGCTGAAGAAGTTGCCAACCATTACTTTCAATTTCTTAATTGCACAAGTTACTCGTGTAATGTTGTCGTGATTAACATCATTACAAAATAACATATTTTGTATTTTATATTTTTGTTATTTTATAACAAAATAACATCATTATCAAGCCGGAATTCATGTGCAGGCCACGTGGCAAGTCAGAACGACTTGAACGAAGTATGTAAGCAACACGAGAGCTTGAAGGTGAAGTACGCGAGCACCATCTATGACTCGCGCTGCATTATCCTCGGTTTGAACTCGGACGGCAGCGTCCATAACGAGAATGCAAATGAAGTCACCGATGCCCAATCGTCCAAAATTCCTGACCAAGTCGACGGTGGAGATGCCGTTGCGTTCCTGCATGGCGACCGAGACAGCGGGGTTTATGATAACCTTCTCACCGAAGACAGGGTATCTGCTGACGGTGATCTGAATCACCACACCTCTAATGGCCATGTTTTGGGTAGTGCTCTTAAGAAACGATGTGACTCTTCATCTCAGTCCGACAGCGGCCAAAGTTCAGGCGTGAAACAAAACGGTGGCTTAAGCTCCTCCAGCAGCGACTCTGGCAGTGAGAGTGCCGTGGACGGTTGTTGTGTCACGGACACCGAGACTTCTAATGTCTCGGTTACAACCTTAACCGGCAGTCCTAACGCTATCAACGCTTCATCAGACTCGCTACAAGAACACAGTAGCAGCGATTCATCCATGACTAGCACAAACACCACCGACAACAACCTCATCAACGGCAACACCGAGCAGCACATTAAAGGCTTCAACAACAACAACAGCGTCGTTAACGGACCAACTCAAACTCGTGCCATCTTACAGCCTCCTTCGTACTTCAAGACGCGGGCTATGTTCTACCCCACAGCCGAACACGCGCTCAATATAGAAGCCACGCTTCACGAGTTTATCAGTAACTCGTGCCATCTTACAGCCTCCTTCATACTTCAAGACGCGGGCCATGTTCTACCCCACAGCCGAACACGCGCTCAATATAGAAGCCACGCTTCACGAGTTTATCAGTTCACTCTTCTGGGTGCTCGAGTCTAAGCGACTGGATAAGAGCCAAGAGAAACTTGATCGGCCGCCTCTACTCTGCGCGCCTTTTGAGAGAAAGGTAAATTTTCAGTGGCTTTTGAACCAATTATTTAAAACATCCCAATAGAAAGTGCATAGATATTTTAATTAACCATACCTTACTTTATCTTGTCGATGCGATGTTCATTTTCTATTACAATATTGTCACTAAAATTTCAAGTAACTCTTGCATCGTAAATCCATTTATTCAAAGAATTTTTTTGCAATTCAAGGAATATTATTTTTATTAAATTTTTTATGGTTCAAATTAAGTCATTCTATTCGAAGGACATGATTAAATCTCCTCTAGGGCTGCTCAGAAGAATGAATTTTAATTTTTTGGATCCATTAATATCTATCGTTGATTATCACAATTTTTATCATTAACTATTTTGTATCTATTAAAGTGAGTGAGTGACTGAGTGTGTATCTATTAAAGCGCAACGAATGTCAATCATTGCGACCAACGAATTCTTTTTTTATTAGGTGCCAATTACGTTAGTATGTAAAATGAGCCAATGCCAATTCTCAAAAGCCAACTAAAAGAATAAGGTTAAATGATACTTGAATTCAATAAGAGCGGCTAATGATAATCATGATATATGAGTTACTATACTCATACATAATGATTCTCATTACTAGCCTTTACTAGGATTTTTCTATTATACTATTAGTAGCCTTTACGTTACTATAAACCAATTCGTATCATTAATGACAACGAATGATAACCCTTAATTCTAATAATTCTCCAGGACATGGTTGGCTTGGACATGAACTCTGGGTCTAGTCCCAAGTGTTGCGTGGGACCATCGTTACTATAAAACAATTCTTATCATTAATGGCAACGAATGGTAATCATTCTAATAATTCTCCAGGACATGGTTGGCTTGGACATGAACTCTGGGTCGAGTCGCAAGCGGTGCGTGGGACCATCGTTACTATAAACCAATTCTTATCATTAATTGCAACTAATAATAATAATTCACCAGGACATGGTTGGCCTGGACATGAACTCTGAGTCTAGTCGCAACTCTGGGTTGAGTCCCAAGTGTTGCGTGGACCCATCGTTACTATAAACCAATTCTTATCATTAATGGCAACGAATGGTAATCATTCTAATTATTCCCCAGGACATGGTTGGCTTGGACATGAACTCTGGGTCTAGTCGCAAGCGCTGCGTGGGACGCCTGAAGAAGCAGCTGGGCGACCTGTGCCTGCAAGTCGGACTCGTGGGAGAGGCGGCGCAGCACTACAGCCAGGCCGCTGATATCCTGCGTGCATCCAATGACTGGCTATGGCTTGCAGGTTAGTCAACTTAATTCATCATATTTATCTTTATTATTCTTACTTAAGACCTGTACGAACATATGCCTCTGGCTATGGCTTGCAGGTTAGTAATATTAATTCATCATATTTATGTTCATCAGTCTTACTTAAGACCTGTACAAACATATGCCAGTGACGCCCGGTTATTGCTTATACGATTACCATGCTAACGCTACCGCAGTAAACCAAGTAGTATGACATCATTATTCGGAATTCCATAACTCAGGCACGGCAGTCAGATATCTCTACACTTATTCAGCATATTTATACTCACTATTCTTACCAAGGATCATTACTTATTTATGCTTCCTATGTTTGACTCTGGTTTGCCGGTAAAATATCCTTGCACTTTTTTAACTTATGCCGCTCATACTTCACCTTGTTCAAAAAATATGCACAATTATGTGCCTAACTCGGCTTTCAGAATATTCCAGTACATTTATGAAAAAACTTCAATTTCAACTTATAAATTCAGAAATCTGCAGCGCATTCATAGCTGTCTTATGTGGATGCTTCAAGTTTTAACCGCACTCGGCTGCAAATCACAGTGTTCACCACTTTAACACAAATAATACGCCGAGTTCTAGCTCAGTAGGTGCATAAATAAACCGTGTTATGCATTCAATGGCAGAGTTTTTCTCTATTCACTTATGTATTATGCCATTTTTTGTATGTAACAATAATACGGTCACTGCTAGTATGATAACCACGGTAATGGTACTCTAGTAACCATAGCACAATAATACGGTCACTGCTAGTATGATTACTACGGTAATACTACTGCAGTAACCTTGCTACTATGCCATTATTATGCATTTTTTATTATGCCATTATTATGCATGAAACGATTTCGTGCTTGGATGCCAAACTACTCGGAAAATTCGTGTGAAGTTTTTAGTAGCCTGTGTCATCAAAATATGCATGTAACAATTCTAACTCTGCCTTTACAAATTTTAATTCTCTTATAAAAATTCTAATTCTTAAATTCTTTCAATTCTTCTAAAAATTCTAATTCTTTTAACTGCTCAGGTTGCCTGGAAGGTTCGTGTGCGGCGTCTGCAGTTCAGTTGTACCCTGAGCTCGGCCATGGAGTGTTGTTGTGTTGTCTTTAAAAATAATTTTTAAACTCGTATATTGCATTTCAAACCATAAATTTCTTATTAACTGCTCAGGTTGCTTGGTTAAAACGATTTCGTGCTTGCATGCCAAACTGCTCGGAAAGCTTGTATGAAGTCTTCATCAGTAACTGGGGTTATTAAAATATGCATGTAATAATTCTAATTTTTAACTGTTCAGGTTGCCTGGAAGGTTCGTGTGCGGCGTCCGCAGTTCAGTTGTACCCTGAGCTCGGCCGTGGAGCGTCAGGTCTGCAGCGCAACAGCAGCCTGGGTGTTGGGCCTACAGCGCTCAAACACCGCCAGACTAACTCCCTGCCCTCCAACTCCCTGCCTGCTGGCCTAACGCCTACCGCTGCTAGACACCTGAGCAAACACTGCCTCTCTCCTGATAATTGATCAATTCATCAATCAATACAGAGAAGCCATTATGGACTATGACAAGATGAGTGTTGCTGCAATTTTGAGACTAGGTATTAGATTTAGAATCGTCCATACAATACAATTTAGTATCGCCTATCGGTAAGAACGATATGATATGGCCATCTATGTATTTAATGTTTGAAGAATTTATGTTTGATGGAATAAAAAATGTTCATTAATTTTGTTGTACTTATTATTATTCAAAAAATAATGTGTTCCTTATGTGGGTTGTTTAAATATCAGTCGAATCTTTGTGCAGAATCGTAACACTTCAATGTCACCATGTTTGATAGGATGATTCTGCATGAATTTATGTCTTCATTGACATACAGCTATATTGTTCGTTATTTTAATATAGCTACGGCGACGTGGTCGAAAATTTTACAGCTTTAATATTCTGTACTTTTAATTTCCGCAACTCCGACGTGGTCGAGATCTTTACAGTCATAAAATTCGACATATTTCAGTACCGCAACGCCGGTGTAGTAGAGATCGGGTTCCCAAGGCCGGATCCCTTGTGAATCAAGTCACGAAAAGTACAAGAATCGGCAACAGGCCATGGGCCTATTTCTTCAGTGCCGACACTTCTATTTTATTCTATAATATTCGACATATTTCAGTACCGCAACGCCGGCGTGGTCGATACCTTTACAGTCATAATATTCTATATATTTCAGTATATTCTATCCATTTCAGTATATTCTATACATTTCAGTATATTCTATATATTTCAGTACCGCAACGCCGGCGTGGTCGAGACCGAGGCGAGCATCAAGGCTGTGTACGTCCTCATCGAACAGCGACGCTACCTCCTGGCTGCTGAGTTCCTCTCTAACGTCGTCTTCATCAACCTACAGCTCTCTGACGAAGAAAAGGTTCAATAAAATATATTATTTGTATCAGTTTCAGAACATTTTTTTATATATTAGTTCCAGGAAAGGATATGTTGGTATCATTCGACCTGCAAGTCTCGGGAAGGTGAAATAGATAAAGTAATTTATTGTATTAATTCCGTAATATTTTTATTTGTTATTGACATTCCGATATAAAGCCAGTCTGATATTTTGGTATTGACATTTTGATCTAAAGTTGATTGGTGGACAGTTTGATCAGCTTTATCGGTCCTCAGATTAGTCTCTTCTGGTCCCCAGTTACGTCAGTTTCAATTGTTAACTGAATTTTTTATAACTACTTGCTCTTTTTCTTGCTCAGTTAAATCTTGAAATTATTCTTCTTTGCTGCATGTTCGTTAGTTTCAGTTACTTTGTTTCAGTTACCTCAGTTTCAAGCATCAATTATTTGTTTTCTATCCTTTGCCATCATTCCTTTCTCAGAGAAGTCGGTTCCATGCGCTCGCGTTGCTATACCTTGAACTCGTCATGATGACTTTCCCTACCAATAATTTAACCTCCCTTTCCCCAATTTTTTCGGTTCTCCGACAAGTCAGCTTTTTGTATTGATAACTTGTTAATTAGTAATTAATTAATTAATTGCATATATGTCGGTTTCGTGCACTTGAGGAGCTTTACTAGGAGTTTGGCAAGATGCCTTTCCTTTTTAAAAAGTTCATCTTTCTTTCCCGTACTTTTCTAGCCCTGAGATTAATAGCTTGTAACCTTTAATTACTTGTAAATTAATGGCTAATTAATTGCAGATAAGTCGGTTCCGTGCGCTGGCTGAGCTGTACCAGGAGCTCGGCATGATGCGCAAGGCAGGCTTCTTCCGACGCGTCGCGGCGATGCGGTGCGCCGTAGCGCAGTCGCAGCGCTCGCACGACTGGCCGCAGTGCTACAAACTCCTGCTCAACACCTTGCCTGGCTACAGGCTCTCCCTCGACCCTCTGCACTGCCTACAAAGTGCGTTTATTATGTGTTTATAATATTATGTAGGTTTAGTATTTAAAAGTGCGTTTATTATGTGTTTATAATATTATTTATGATTAGTATCGTCACACTAAACTAGCACCCTGCCCGGCTAACAGCTCTCTCTCGACCTCTTGCATTGCCTACAGAGTACGTTTGCTCCTAGAGGATGAGACTAAACCTAGACAAAACTAAAGACTAGACTACACTCGGTGCACTGCCTACTAAGTACCTACTACTTTCATGCTCTAGTAATCTTATTTGATAAATTGCCTACAAAGAACGTATATTACGGTTCACCAGTCTTCTCTGATGATCTAAGAACGGAAATGATTCTTTTAGTGCTACCCTATATTAAAATCTATGAAATTATTGTTGCGTGACATGTTCGGTGTCAATCGGGCGTCTCATTCTATTCATTATAATTATATTCTAAGATTATATCATCTGCAATTGAGACATAATATTCACTAGACGTGGTAGAGATTGATGGAAAAGCACTAGAACTGAGTCAACTTGGACAACATCACGCGATCAAGACCTCACTAGTGGGCGGAAGCCGTGAGTCTATGAAAGAGCTGGGAACCTTAGTAAGGCCCCAGTAACTGACAAGTGCGTCGCCATGTATAACATTCGTTACTTAGAGCTACTCCGACGTAACGGTCGATGTCTTGGCCTGGTACATATAATTTACATATAATATATAATAAAACTCTCTTATAACCACCCTGTATCAAGATCAGTTCTCTAGACATATAGTGTTATAGCTCGACCTGAAACGCTAGCAACTACGGCCACTGAACTGACTAACTCACGAACTTAGTCAACGAATCCTTTTCCTCAGGTTCAGGTAGAAATATATACAAAATCTGGTGGCGCATGGACGTGCCTTCGAATAGACATAGTACATCTCGTCTCAGTAAGCTTGTGCACATACAATATAATTTTAATTATTATCTATAAAAATATTTCATGCGTCAGTGGGCGGGTGGGGTGCGCTGCAAGTACAGCTGATCCAGGAGGTGGTTGGGACGAGTCGCCGGATGGGGGCGGTGGAGGCCTGCTGTCGTCACCAGGCCTTCCTTCTTGCTGCTCTCTTGCACCACCTCACTCCAGCCCAGCGGCAGGAGGCTGCACTCATGCTGCACACGCTCACTCAGCAGGTGGGAATTGTACCTTCAGACAAAGGTTCATCATAGGAAGTAGTCTCCGGCTACCTGGAATAGTTTTCGTACGGTTTTCCAATTAGAATTCAACACGGACGTAAATATTCTCTCCTTTAGACTGTTTTAGTCAATTTGTTCTGCCTTATTCGGCTGGTCTACACAAAAATGTCACCATTTAACTTCTTACCCCGACTTCATAGTAAGGGTCCTTTGCAACAAAATGCCATGTAGTCGGTTCGCTTTATTCGAATTCATACCTAATGGTTAAGGTATTTAATAGTAATACTAATAAGCCATGTGTCCAGGTTCACATATACACCCAATCCTCATGGTTTAGATCATATGTACAGATATGCCGTGTATTCAGGTTCGTATATTCACCAATTCCTCATAGTTATGGTCTTTTACAACAATATATTGTGTCATAGTAGTATTCCTCATAGTTATGGTCTTTTACAACAATATATTGTGTCATAGTTTTCCTCATAGTTATGATCTTTTACTCCAACATATTGTGTATCGTGGCATATTCCTCTGTATAATTCCATGTTCCACCCAACAGTCTGCTGCCCAGACCACCAACGCCCCGAACAGCTCCAGCAGCAGTTCAGGCAGCTCTGCAGTCTCTGGGTCTGTCGCTACGCTCACTCAGCAGGTTAGAACACTCATGCTGCATACGCTCACTCAGCAGGTTAGAACACTCATGCTGCACACTCTCACTCAGCAGGTTTGAATTATACCTTCAACCAAAGGTTCATCAAGGGAAACAGTCACCGGTTATACGTGAATTGTTTTCTTACGGTTTGCCAATTTTAGTCGGTTTGCTCTGCTTTGTTCGGCAAGTCTATACAAAAAGTCGCCATTTAACATCTTACCCCGACTTCATAGCAAGGGTCCTTTGCAACAAGATGCCGTGTTTTCAGGTTCGCTTGATCGAATTCATACCCCATGGTTAAGGTATTTATTAGTAATACTAATAAGCCATGTGTCCAGGTTCGCATGTACACCCATACCTCATGCTTTTGATCCTATATATAGATATGCCGTGTATTCGGGTTCGCATATTTACCCACATCTCATGGTGTAGGTCCTATATACAGATATACCGTGCATTCAGGTTCACATATATGTACATCCATACCTCATGGTTTAAATCCTATGTACAGATATACCGCGCATTCAGGTTCACATATACATCCATACCTCATGGTTTAAATCCTATGTACAGATATGCCGTGTACTATTCAGGTTCGCATATTCACCCATTCCTCATAGTTATGGTCTTTTACACCAATATATTGTGTATCGAGGCATATTCCTCTGTATAATACCATGTTCCACCCAACAGTCTGCTGCCCAGACCACCAACGCCCCGAACAGCTCCAGCAGCAGTTCAGGCAGCTCTGCAGTCTCTGGGTCTGTCGCTTACCTGTATTATTAATATTTTTGTATATCCTTCACCAGTTTCATTCCTCATCCGTCATGATGCCAACTTCTAGACTATTATGCATCATGATCGTGATACTAAAATTATCTAAGAAATCATTTACGGTTGGAAGGAATTGGTGGAATACCTCAATCTTATGCAATCCTTTAATATTTAAACTGAAATCGTTTTTGGACACTGGTAATTAAACGCTACGTAAGAAGGACATTTATTGCTGATCTTCATATCATGTATTTGATTCATTGTATTTGTTTGAAACCATGTGTCAACTTTTATAAGTTCTTCAAATGTTTCTTGTGGTTATTGCTTTCATTAGCTACGATTTTCTTTGCCAAGAGTATTATGGTTTAGTCGGCCGGCTGTCTGCTGGTCATTTTCAAATTTAAATCTAACTCACAATGAAATTTGCTTATATGGACAATTTTTTGTTATCAGACGAGCCCTTAGTGTTGTGCGATCACTCGGTGTTAATTCGGTGGAGTGATTTATGATTTGAACGTCATTATTTTTCGTAGGATTTCACTTTCGGTTGTTGATGTAGATACTCTTTCTTACTGTAATCATAAAAAACTGAAATTTATCCATTTTCGCACGTTCAAATTTTTTTCAGGGTTTACATTTCGTGATGCAGGTCATTCTAAGATCAATCTTTCTTGACACTAACTTAGAACCGATTCGAAAAGCTAATAAAATATTACACGGACATTCTATTATTTTCTTCTCGTTCTGAGTATGTATTACCTCACATCTTACTTTGAAAGGCTAATAATAAATTGTTCTCTTATGCCTGTTATTCCGTAACCACTTTACAGGTCTGTCAGGGTTCGATCACCCTTAGGTCTTACGTACAACTCACTTAAAAAAATCATAATAACCAAATTACCTTTATTCATCTTTCCAGTGCGCGGCGCCTATCCATGTCCTATCTATCGCCTATCGTATCTTTTTCATGCCTATCACATTGGATCCATTTGACAGGTCCGTCAAAGTACAACCCCCCAAAAGCGGCCATCAGTTGCGGAAGTTCGCCAAGGTGTGCAGCGATGAGCCTGCTGGCCCCTTCATATTCTCGCCCTTCTCATCTCTCACGAACGCCGTGGCCAAACCGGCCAATACTTTCGGTGAATCATCAATACATTACTTTATTTGTGACTTTAAAAGCAATATATTTGTTTGGTGTAGTATGAATGAAGTATTTCACTATTGGCATCTGTTGTTAAATCCTCTGCTAGATTTTGATATTCACTTGTATATCTCCGTAGTGGACTATACGATTCGAATCTAATTATGCGACCACGTAACTAAATGATTTATTCTTCTCTGGATAAAAATATACTTTGAGTAAAAATAAGAAAAAACTGCATCCTACCTTAAATTCTATTGTAGAGAACACATTCTCAGCATACACTTTTTCTGCAAGTCGCAGTACATTAATTTTGTTTACAACTGTGCAGACTTCCAGTGGGTGGAAGGAGACGTCTGCGAGGTTGTCCTACAGTTTGACAATATCCTCTCACTTCCTCTGCAACTCTCCAACATCGTGAGTATCTGTGAACATCTTCAGCTCTTTTGCAAATTATTTGCCAAATTTTCTCTATCTCTTGGAATATTTATTCATTAATTGTCTCGTCGCTCACATGACAGTAAAGTGATACGCCCTTAAACTGAGAAAAATACATAAACTTTGTCCAAATAGCGATGCACTTCTTGCCAGGTGTGGGTCATAATGATTCAGTTTTTCCTGGTGAAAGGGCGTATCTGTCGTACTCGCTGAAAATGCGTACCTATTTGGACAACATCACCCATTCATTTTTATGAGTGTATTTTTAAATTTTTGGTTGAATAAAATATAAAATATTATCTACTATACTTGAATCAATGTTAACACAATTTTGCTTATTTTTGCGATTTTCGGAAGAATTTTGAATAAAGCATATTTTGGAATAATTTATAGCTTTATTGGAATGTTTTTATAATTGCCATACATTATGTTGCTTCAAAATGACTGCATTCACTCATAAGTATTAATAATAGGCAATCAGTCATTACATTCACTTAGCAGCATTCACTGCTAAGCATTGTCTACATTTACTCACAAGCATTCACTGCATTCACTCAAAAGCATTACTAATAGCAGTGACTCATTGTACCTGCACACTACAGAGGCTGCTAAGTGAAGGCGTGTGTCACTTTGAGTCGTGGAGCAGCAGCGTCGTGCTGGAGGCTGAGAGTAGCTGTAGTGTCACTGTTAGAGGACAGCCCACCACCCCTGGCCAGCTCAAAATTACTGGTAATAATTTCCTTTGTGGGAGCAGATGCTTTGTTTCTGCAACTATTGTTTATTATTTGTGAAACTGCCGGTATTGTGTATTATTTGTGAAACTATTGTGTATTATTTATGAAACTATTGTATATGTTGCTTACCTAATTTTGTGAAATTGTTGTGTATTATTTGTGAAGTTGTTGTGTATTATTTGTGAAACTATTGTCTATTATCTGTGAAATTATTGTGTATTATTTGTGGAACTATTGTGTATGATTTGTGATACTGTTGTGTATTATTTGTGATACTGTTGTGTATTATTTGTAAAACTATTGTGTATTATTTGTGAAACTGTTGTGTATTATTTATGAAACTATTGTGTATTATTTGTGCAACTATTGGGTATTATTTGTGAAAATAATTAGCTTGAATAAGAGATAAGAATGTTTCTTTGATTCAATTTCTACTGGAAAAATAAATTTCTTATGCAAACATTTCATGTCTAAATTCGAATGCCTGGGCCATAAGAAATAAGAATGTTTCTTTCATTCAATTTCTACTGGAAAAGTCAAGTTTCTATGCAAATGTTTGATGTCTAAGTGCAAATGCCTGGGCCATAATGTTTCTTCGATGCAAATCCTACTGGAAAAATCAAGTTTATATGCAAGTGTTAAGTGTATCAGTGCAAATACCTGTGCCATAAGAGATAAGAATGTTTCTTCGATGCAATTCATACTGGAAAAAGCAATATTTAATGCAATTGTTAGATGTCTAAGTTCGAATGCCTTGGCCCAAAGGTGATAAGAATATTTCTTTGATTCAATTCCCACCGGAAAAAGCAAGTTTTTATGATGCTCTGTATTTCCCTAAAAACAATTTCATAGCTGTTTGTCGTTTTTTTGCTATAATTAATTTATTATCCTTGCTTACGGTACAGGTTGAGAGTGACGACAGCGCTTCATCGAGCAGCAAAAGTTGTTTTACTGTAGAAGGAGGCGTTGGTAGCGCCAAGGTGCGAGGTCATCTCTCTGCTGGACAGACGCAGCAGCTGAGATTAACTATGCACAACATATCGCCTCAGCCTGTGGCCGCCGTCGCTGTTACAATCAAACCGAAAACGACAACGCAAGACATTGCTAAGGTTTTCAAGGTTTGTTCGGAGAGACAAAGACATATAATTCTTCGTATACTGATACGGTAACCGTCGCTTATGCTATATATTTAAAGTCCTCGTAAACAAGCCACCCTCGGAAGTCAAGGGATTAATGTCTACTTTCAGTCATATGTTTACTTTTATTTAAACTTTCTAAAAATCTGTACAAAAGCATCCGCAATGATGCACTGAAGTTTTCTGTACATTCTCGTTGTTTAGCTGTATATTCCTACACTTACGCCCTCAGGCGGACGAAGTTGCGCTGGAGCGTCAGCTTCCCATACGCGGCAACTCGTCGTGCTCTCTGCTGCTGTCCCTGTACGGCCTCAGTGACCTGCTTGCCATGTCGCTCTCCAATGACGCTCACGACGACACTCACAGCAGCGTGGGTTCGTTGCCGAACAAACTTATTTTTTTACGTTTTTTCCTACCATAACTCCCGCATTTCTTACTCAGATCTAGATTTTTAATGCATAGTCATCACTGTTGCGATTTATTGATGATTAAATACGATGCGATCCCATTATTATTATTCATTTTCATATTGATAGTAAAAATCAATAATGACTGTTATTTTTTGACGTTTTTTCCTGCCATAACTCCCGCATTTCTTACTCAGCTATAGATTTTTAATTCATAGTCATCACTGTTGCGATTCACTGATGATTAAATACGATGCGATCTCATTATTATTTTTCATTTTCATATTGATCGTAAAAATCAATAATGACGATATTGTGGAAGGAAGGCTTAACATGCTTATTGTGACACGTGAGAACGTTTGGGAGCTGCTAGCATATGTTAATTGAACGAACGAAAATATGTTCGTTGGAACGAAATATGTTTGTATATACTTGGGTGAAGGTTTAGCCCCTGGAAAATTGTTATCCTTATGTTTAATAGACTCAAGTTCTAGAACCATTGGCTCCAGCAGATAATATGTTCCTATCTGTGCACGTACCGCGTATAGTAAAAATGCCTTCCTAATTTTCTTACTAGGTGTGAGTTTACCTACTTCCTTCTATACTTCACCATTTTCTGCATCAAGTTTCACATCGAAAAGATTCTATCTTATTATTTTTAGTTTTGCTGCTATCCTATATGCTAGACCATTTTCTGCATTAGGTTTTCCATTGAAATGTTCCCATATCTGATCTTAGGTGCAAGTTTGGCGGCTTCCTCACTGCCGTGCTCGTCTCTGATGTCGACGTCTCGGGGGGCGATGCGTCTTGCGCCTCTGGGGGGTCGGCGCTCCCACTCGTCAGGGTCGATGCTGTCGGGCAGATCTGGTGGCAGCAGCAGCCGATCTCAGCGGTCCAGGGAGAGCGCCTCGTCGGCAGCGAGTAGCGACTCCAAGGAGGCCTGTTCCAGTGAGTGTTGCTGCATTCAAGTGATGTGCTGTGCGCGAATGACGAATGCGTGGCTAATTTTCACATCTGTGTCGACGATGTGGTTGAGGAAGAAGATCGGGCCCAGTGCCGTTTCCTGTGGAACACCATTGTTCTCCCTTGCCTCGATTGACTTCGAGCCTCCAACAAGAACAGCTTCTTGTCAGTCAGGAAGTTGTGAATCCACGACAATAACTCTCCTCCGACCACCAGAGTAGTCTTTCTTTTCTGAAGGGCAGTCCATGGTCCACTTTGTCAAAAGTTCTCGCAAAGTTAAAATATATCACGTTTATGCCGGCACTCTCTTCCAGTATGGCAAGTATTTTGTTGCGATGCTCCAGTAACTGGAACCAGCAGGAGCGATTTTTTCTAAAACCTTGTTGTCTCTTGTTGAGGAGGTCATCTTCCTCCATGTACTGCACCAACCTCCTGGCAATAACCTTCTCAAACGCCTTCATTAAATTTGAATTTAATGTCACCTGTCTGTAATTTTGCGATCTGTCTCTTGCACATGTTTCATAGTTGCAGTTCCTAAGTATCTTGAGGTAACGCGGAACGTTTCCTAATATCAACGATGCTTTCCAGCGCAAAGTTAGTGGGGCGTTCAGTGCACCGACATTTTTATAACACCACCGGGACTCCATCCGTCCCGGGACAAGAGTACGAATCATTTCCTAATTTAGACGATTCAGCCTCTGTTCTCCTTATCCCCGGAGGCAGCTGCTATCCGCTTGATCAAACTTATTCGTTTTATCGTGAGGATTCGTCTGTAACTTGGAACAATGTGTCGTTTTGGGCTCGTTTTTTTTTTTTTGCGCGCACACACAATAAATTCTTCACCTAGCTTGTGCATTGCTTCGGCATTTAACTTCAGGAGCTCGGACCTTCAGTCGACTTCGAATAGTATGTTCCCAATAGCCTCCCAGTCTCTTCTTCAATGGTGGAAATTTAGCCCAGCCAGAGTTGTAGGTTTGGTTTCCAATTGCCCAATTCTTTACCACCATCAGTCCATGGTCTGACAGTGTGGTCTCCTCAAGCAATCTGTTCTAAGTTGATAACTTGATAGTGACGAATAGATTAAGGGTTTTGTGAACAAAGTAGAGTAATGTAGATACGTTCTCTGTTTCATTGCTAGAATTTATTGGTTAATCCTAGGAAGCTTACTTCTCTTCCAGTGAGTATCTTGATTCAGTAAATGGATGATGCATATCTTTTAGAACCTGTATGATACCTATAATATCTGAAGGTTTGGCTTCCTGATCTAATTTTCGGATCACTTCCTTGTCTATTATTCATTTAAATTATTTTACTTAAGATTTCATTGAATTATTTTTCTTAACTCAGAAGGAAGCGTTGGCAGCAGTGAACTGGAGGGAGAGGTGGAGCTCTGGTACCGAGGTGAAGGCACCGAGCACTGGAGGACTTGTTTGATTAACGTGCGTCTGCAGGTCACGCCCACTCTTCAGGTCATGAGGTTAGCATCGGATTTTTAGCGCATTTTTTAATTTATGGAAAAAATGCACTATTGTCCTCGCCATGTCCGTCTATCTGTCTGTCCGTCCCGTCCGTCCGTGACCTCAAGTTTTCGTCGACGAGAAAATGCGCTCTCTGTCACTCACTGCAGTGAGTACTGAGTTATATTTTTTATTTCATTTCATTGGCAACAAGTGGATTTAAAAATGCAGTCGAGTAAACAAGAATATTTTGTGCACATTTTTACAGATATTATATACTCATAGCTAGAAAACATTGAAGTAGTTTATTTCCTCTGAGATGTCCAATGAAAATTGGTAAGATTTATTTTTACCTGCTGAACAGGTCGGCCAGCGAGATGGAGCTCACATACACGGCGGAGGGACGCAGCATTCTTGTGCAAGGGGGAGACTCGTGCAGAGTTCCTGTACCTGTCACCCGCTGCCCTCGTACACCAGCCTTGCAGGTGAGGTCCTAACTTATGGCCTTGGTTGCTAATCTATTATTTCAACCATTAAATTTTATTGTAATCTTGCAGGTGAGATACCGACCAATGGTCTTGGTTGCTAATCTATCATTTCAACCATCAAATTTTATTATCACCTAGCAGGTGAGATCCTGACCAATGGTCTTGGTTGCTAATCTATTACTTCAACCATCAAAATTTATGTCCGCCTTGCAGGTGAGATCCTGACCAATGTTGTTGCAATCATGCCAATCAATTATTTTAACCATGATATTTTATCCCCGCACTGCAGGGAATGCAATAATTTATTGCACCCGAGTGATGCCATATATCTATTTTAATCATTTGTTGCCATTATGAGTCGAGTTTGTATGTAAATTTTAACTTTGACAGCTAAAATGCTAGCCGCCCAACGCTAGTAGGTACAGGTATGTCGCAATTAAACTATTGGTAAAAACATGTGTTCCATTTATGCATAATATTTTAACCTAAGTTGATATTGAGTTATTTATTTACAATATGTACAACAGGTTCTAATCCTCCTGTGATTGAATTCATGTGACTATCTTTTTCTCAAGTTGGTTGCTGCACCCTTTACCACCTGACATGAGTAACTGGAGCAATACCTATTGTCACAAGCCTACCCAAAAGGATACGTTCTAGTGAGCGCAAAATGACTTGCACTGATGTTCGCCTCCACGTACGAACACTTTAAAAAGTTCTCTGTTGCGTACAAACGTCTTCAGGTTTCTTCACTCAATAGATTACGTATAATTTCAGTTGAAAGTTATGTTCCCTGAGTGTGAGAAACGGCGGTAGAGGGTTAAACGCTTAAAGTGTATTACTCGCACAGAGCGGGGAAAGAAGTGTGAGCGAAGCCCTCGGTGAGCACGTGGCCTCTCAAGTGAAGCTTCAATGGGTGCTGAGTCCCCAAGAACTGGAATGCAGCGCCTCGCTGCCTCAACTGCACTTCCCTCTCAACACCCACCACCTCATGATGCTAGCTCCTATTACCTGGGGTCAGTAACAAATATTGGACCACAACCAACTTATATTACCGTCAACCGGGATGACTTTGGCCACACCTACCACAGAAACAAATGGCAGCAAAACAAAATGATAAACGTTGGCCAAAGTGACTGGGGTGACTTTGGCCAACGTTTGTTATTTTGTTTTGCTGCCATTTGTTTCTGTTGTAGGTGTGGCCGAAGTCACCCCCGATGGCCGAAGTTACCCCAGTTGACGGTATATGCATTGCAAAGTTTCGTCGCTTTAGAACAAATTAGGGTGTGCATGACACACATGACAGGTGTGCATGACACATTCTGAGGGCATGACAGGTGTGCACTGTAAACGTAACCTAACAAATTCATCATAAGTTACGAACTAGAATTTAAATTTCCAGTGATATCTTCATTTTTTGTAGTATATTCACTTGTTGCAGGCGTTGAAGTGAACGGCATGAGCGTGAGCGTGGGGGGCGAAGTAAGTTCTCGCGTGGGTGAGGGCGTAAGCGTGTCGGTGAGCATCACGAACAGCAGCGACGCGGAGCTGCCGGCCCTGAGGCTCTCCACCAGCACCCTGCAGGACCATCAGAACGGCAACGCCAACTACAGGACAGACGGCATCGTGGCTCCCGCTGGTGCCATGACTGCACTTATCCCTAGGGTGCGTAACTCCAAGTCGTCAATTTACCCAAGAAAATATCTATCAAATTGAGCGTAACAAAATTTGAGATAATATCATGAAGTACGTAACAAAACAGTAACACGAGTTCCAGAAACGAGTAAATTTTATGTCACAAAATTTCGATACAATATCCATCGATCATAATTATATGTAGGTACCTAAATATTATGATCAAAATATACAATGATCAATTGATCATAATATATGTACCAAAATATTGACGCTTGACTCGATGAACTATCGTGTTGTATGTGGCAAGAAATATACACTGGCTCGAATAAATATTCATCGTGTTGTGTGGCAACAAGGAATTGTTCCGAGGGAACATTTATCTTGTCTGTGATTTGAACTAAGATGTGCAGGCTGACGGCGTGGTATTACTCTTGACCGGCATTAAAAACTCTTTCATCGGTTTATTATTGACTCATTTTATGGCTTGATTAAATTCTCTAGATCAATTAAATCAGGGGATGGTTTCTTTAGTATAACTTTATTTGATGTATAGTTTTAATCCTCTTTTTCAGTTTTCTTGCTCATTTGACACGATGGTTTGAACCTTCGGCTACATGTGTGTCTCGATACGTTAACGCAGCGGTAGACATGCTTTATATTTTCCATTGCCTCAATATATGACCTTATATGAGCAGCTGGGCGTTGGCCAATCATATTCGACCCAAGTGAACTTGATATTCTTCACCGGAGGCTCGTACAAACTAGACTTGCGGTGCTGTCCTGTGGTGCTACCTGCTGTACCGTCGGTGGTCGGTGGACCGGCTAGTCTCACCACCACCAGCATCACCCTGGGCAACACCAGCATCACTAACGTGTCTGGTCTGCCGCATCACCTTCACCACCAGACATCACACTTGAGCCATCACTCAGCATACCAATCTCCTGTGCCTCCTGCTGAAGTCTGGTTGTTTGCACCACCTATTGAGCTCACTATCTCACATTAAATCTTGAATGTTTTAAAGCTAATTTTTACTTCAATCATGGATGGTACCCGGCTTAAATAGTAAAATTTATTAACTAGAAAAAGTATACAGGTTATAACCACTTGGCCGGGTGACGCGTCATCATTGTCATAGCATGGTTGGCTAGTACAAGCATCAAATTGAATAAATATGACATGTTTGTAATTAGAAATATTTGTAAATAAAAAATAATATCATAATTTTGTATGAAAAGTTGAAAGAAATTATTGTTTAGGTTGCTCAAAGCCTATTATTTTTATAGTTGCTCTAATTTTTTTCAATCATCTGCATGACCTCCGTATCTTGCATCCAAAGAATTGAACGGAGAAGATCATCTAGGGGCTGGTTAGGTTCCTAGCTCAATAGACCGTTGCATAAGTTTACAAACGCATTAAGCTTCCTGATATTATTACAGATATTTAAATGTGACTTTCAAGTTGAGTGTTGGTTTATATGACTTTGTAAGCTTGTTAGGTTTTCTGATTGAGTTACATAATGACATTGCAGTAAAAGACTTGGTATTCCGTGGGCCAGCCAAGAAAAATCTGTGGAAAAAGAAATTAAAATTTTCACAGACTTCATTTTAACTGTGAATTAGTTGTTTTTGTCGTCAATCGTCTATGTTACTTATGTTCCTCTCGACTATTGTTGTCTAGATCAACATATGTTGTTCGATATGAAAACTTCAAGCATCGCTTGTGTCTATTTGCTTAATTTTTCAGAATAGTTACAAAATGAAAATTGAGCATTAGAAATGTGACCATGTATCTATGCTACATATTACTACCAATTGCATTTGGCAATAAGAATATTAAACTCATTACTTATTCTTAAGTGTTATAAATTAACGCCATTAGTGACATAGAGCGTCTACGGTGCCATCGCCGCATTGAAGCAACAATTATTCAAGTTATAGGATTCTCCATAGGTATTATCTTCCCAAGTATTATCATAGTATACTTGTATTATTTGTGTATAGTTCTTCGTGTAATATAGCCGTGTAAGTTAACTGTTGAGATTTATATATCAGAAGGGAGTGCTCTGTGATTTACCCAGTTAGATGTAATTCGTGTTAACTTCTGTGCTCTCTTTCTTTCTGCTTGCCAGCGTGAATGCACGACACAGCGCGGTCCTGCTGAACGCCGCACTGTTTTGTGCGATTGTTTGTTCTATTCACTTCAATTATGAGGCTTTTTTTGTGTATGAAATGACGTGAAAATTTGATTTGGCGCTAAATCTAATTCACAGGGCGGTGCTCTTTTACCTGAAATAGTTCTTAAATTTGATGTTTCTTCTCAATAAGGAAGACATAAATGCTATTCCTTTCCTCCATCTTTTGACTCAATCCGGCCAATGTTTCTTAGACTATTTACGATCATATTAGCTTATTTTTTGTTATTTATTCGTTAGATATATGGTATAAATATGTGTAATCTGCTAGAAAGCTCCTCAGCGATGAAGTTTAGGCTATACAGCTTCATGGGATGTGTGCCTGAGAACAATATTATACAAATTCTGTCTGTTTTTCTGTCACCGAAGGTTGACCTGTATGAATTGAAACTGTTAGACTTTAATTTATCTGACTTTCTGATTTATGTAATGTAAAAAATTGACGCTCCAGTCAGTTGATTTTGGGGGCTGCCTTTCTGCACTGGTCATGTCTTGCTGTTGATTACATTTTGAAACATGCATCGTGAGCTTGGTGCGGAAGTCCACTGAACTTTTGTCTGTGGTTTCTGACGCAATCATTAGGAACGGCACGATCGCGAATATGTTGAATGTTGAAATTATTGCGTACAAACTTTACCAATTTTGGATTAAATGTAAACGGTATCCGCATAAACGGCCTTTTGTTAGCCTTTCTGACGGCTTCACAACCTTAGAACAGTTGTTGGTAGCGAGTCTCCATCCACACTTTCTTTACATTTCTCTACCAACGTAAGCTGTAGTTGACGAATCTCAGAGTCTGTATTTATATTTTTAATTATTCTGTTGATATTTCTAGATGTCTTCCCGAAATGTTATTTTTCTTGCTTTGACTTTCTTCACCTGAGAGTTTTAGTAACATTGTACGAAACTAAATATCTAGATGTTGTGACCCGTCGTAACGTTTCCACACACTGCACAACAGTGGTGGTTTGTCATCGTAAAGCTGTTGCAATTCGGTCTTATATTCTCTAATTTAGCCTATATGCATTTCTGTGTCGAGAATCTTCTGTTCGATTATAGGACGTCGGCCGTTGAGCGTTGAAGAGGTGTTAACCACTCGTTATTTTTCTTCAGGTGCTAATAAACCTTTGAAGATCCATATATATCCATAACCCTTAGTAACAAATGAACATTTCTGAACATCTTGTTTTTTGCTAAACTATTCAGACGATCTTCATTCCTACTATAGCGAATGAACCACAACTTGTGAACAGCTATGTTTTAACAAATGTGGAATAAAAGTGCGAATAGAATGCTTTAACTGCCTAAAAACTCACTTAGAGAAAATCCTATAACATTTAAAACGCAATATTTGAGTGTTATTTTTCTGCCTTGTGTGGACGATGCTTCTTCTATGTGGTTCAACTCGATCATTTAGCTCCATTTTCATGCTTTTGATCCATACGTGTGCAAGTCTGCGGGCCATAGTTGGTGGGAATTCAACGACGCCTAGTCGCCTTAGTAGATCTACCAGTACCATTTAGCTGGACTATATGTGATTTCTTTGCTACATTATTATTCACATAAGTCACAGCGAGGAGCGAGCACATGGTGTCGCAGCGAACTACATGAGAAAGGCAATATATTTTACTCAGGCGCTGACGCTAGATGGGATGGCAGGGAACGCAACGTCCGCACGCCATCGTCCGCACGCAACATCAATTTACGGTCCGGGAATTCAAATTTGGTAAAATTAAATATAGAAACCTATCAACTTGAGTTGGAAGGAAATGTTTTCAAACAAAATGTTTTACGATAAATTGCGTAAGTAACACACCATAAATAATTTTAAAATTGGTGATAGACCATGTGTTGTAGGAATTACGGCGGTGAGGTTCATTGAATAATATAGATCCGGAACTAAATAAATTATAGTCGCATATTTAGACAATGAAACTTGCAATTGAGCCCAGACATTTCGCATCTTGATAAAAGAAAGTATATTGTACTGTTCGCATACTTGGGAGGGTGCGCTAGAAGTTTTCGTCATAAAAATAGCTATAACTTGCAGAACTAAAGTGTTAAAACGCTCGAATTGTACCTAGGTACTGCTTTCCATGCTTATCACAAAAATAAGCAAAAATCACTATCGCGGTGCTGAAAAATGCAATCGCCAAATTAATTATTTTCCAATCCAATGTATATGTTTCTATGATTCAGTGGTAGGATTCCTAATCCTTTCGTTTGTAACAGATATTTTCCATATGTTATAAAAAATGCATTTTTAACATACTTCCAACAATTGCACTCAAATTCCGAGTTTTATTTTGTTAGTTTGCAGACTCATTGCGTGACGCAATCGTGCCCATGAAAATCGGAAGCTAAATGACGATTGCGCCTAGAAGTGCCGTGTCATTTTGATTGAATCTACGATAGTCTTCGGGGACATCAAGGCTGCAACGTGATTGTCTTGCTCAGTTAGTGCTATTTAACTTTGTCTGAATATTTCGTATAGTAAAGTAATTTATAACTTCTTTAACCATTGTGATTCCACATAGCTCCCCCCGCGTCCGGCAAAGGCATGGACTGATGAGTCTGATGACTGATCACTGATGAAGTTGTTGTGACTTTAGTCTTGCTCAGTCATAGACATACTGACGGGACAGGTCACAGTCTCACAGACGGGTGACCTACCGGGCTACCGGACTTTTGGACTGCCGGTGGTAATGGCGGCATGGCGACCGCGACAGTGACAAACCACAGATTTTTAAAGAAAATTCATCATTAATTTCCTCGTCTAGGTACCTACCTACTCTACTCAAGATTTAAACCAATTTCCTAAATTAAGTAGGTTATGTAGGTACTACCTACTTAGGCTACTACTAGTATGAATGTATTATGTAGCTATGATAATGCTGGGTTCCACTTCCAGGATACTTTACTGTTCTACTTCTACTATTCTAGGACTTAGAAATGAACTTTAGCATTTTATTGCCAAATTCACCAATTTGAGCAGTTTTTCCCTAAGATAAGTTGAAGTTGGCTGATTTTGGCTAAATTGTATTTGGCTGTTTTAGTAGGTACCTATTCATTTTGATTGGAATCAATCAGGCAGAATTTGCCTAAAATTGCAAGTTGTTGCTCTAATTGTACATATTAATGATATTTTCTATATAAGTTCATCATGTTCATGGGTGGCTTCTGACCAATTTTTCATGTTAAACTTGTTAAGTAATACCATCTAGGTAACAGGGTAGGGTAAACGCGGTGTTGCGGTCCGGTCAGCAGGGGTTCACAAAAGCTATGTGAAGATTAGCTCAATCACCCTAAGATATACAAGCATATGAAAATGGAGCCTTGGTTGAATATGGTCACTGGCTAGCGAAATACAGAAACAAGCACCAATATCAATATCTAATCCTAGTCCGCAGTACCGGAATTGAAGGTGACGGGTGCTAATAATGGGCACACATATGAATGAGTCATCTACTAACACTATCTGCCAATAATTAATCACTACAATCACATCACTCGTTGGTCGCACAACTGGTTAACTAAATCACTGATGGTCTAAGAGTCTAAGTGATGGTCTAAGATGTCTAAAGTCTAAGCCCCATTGTACTTATAAGAGTCAACATCAGGGCAGATATTCGTAGTGACTTGCAAATAGGATTTTGAAACAAGAGTATCAAAATGAAATAGTTAAGACTTGCTCATGAACTGGATTAATATGCAGCTAGCTTGGTTAGTTATTTAGGTTTTCCATTGAAACGTTCCAATATCTTATCATAGGTGCAAGTTTGGTGGCTTCCTCTTTGCCGTGCTCGTCTCTGATGTCTACGTCTCGGGGGGCGATGCGTCTTGCGCCTCTGGGGGGTCGACGCTCCCACTCGTCAGGGTCGATGTTGTCGGGCAGATCAGGTGGCAGCAGCAACCGATCTCAGCGGTCCAGGGAGAGCGCCTCGTCGGCAGCGAGTAGCGACTCCAAGGAGGCCTGTTCCAGTGAGTGCTGCTGCATTTAAGTGATGTGCTGTGCGCGAATGACGAATGCGTGGCTAACTTTCACATCTGTATCGACGATGTGGATGAGGAAGAGGATCAGGTTGAGTACCGTTCCCTGTGGAACTCTATTGTTCTCCTTTGCCTCGATTAACTTCGAGCCTCCAACAAAAACAGCTCTGGTCTGTCGAGAGGTTATGAATCCACGACAATAACTCTCCTCCGACCACCAGTTGTCTTGGTTTTATGAAGGGTACTGCATGGTTCACTTTGTCAATAGTTCTCGCAAAGTTCAAATATACTACGTCTTCGCCGGCACTCTCTTCCAGTTTGGCAAGAATTTTGTTGCGATTCCCCAGTAACTGGGACCAGCAGGAACAATTTTCGCCTGTTGAGGTCAGCTTCCTCCATGTACTGCACCAACCTACAGGCAATGACTTTCTCAAGCACCTTGATTACCTGTAAATTTAATGTCACCGGCCTGCAATTTTGGGATTTGTGTCTTGCACATCCTTCGTAGATTGGAGTTATTAAGTACCTTGAGGTATCGAGGAACATTTTTTTTCCTCTCAACGATGCTTACCAGCGCAAAGTTGGTGGGGGCGTTCAATGCACCGACATTTTTCTACTCCACAGGGAATTCATCCGTCCCGGGACACGAATACAAATGTTTTCCTCATTTAGGCACTTCAGCTTCTGTTCTCTTTATCCCCAGAGGCCGCTGCTGTATGCTTGATCAAACTCATTCGTTTAATTGTGGGAATACGCCTGTAACTTGGAACAATGCGTCGTTCGGGGCTCTTTTTAGCGCATTTTCTCATTTATGGAAAAAAGGCGCTATTGTGCTCATCATGTCCGTCCGTCTGTCTATCCGTCTGTCCGTCCGTCTGTCCGTCCGTCCGTCTGTCTGTCCGTGACTGCACGTTTTTGTCGACGGGAAAATGCGCTCACTGTCACTCACTGCAGCGAGTACTGAGTTATATTTTCGTATATTCGTTGTTTGGTACTCGGTGCTCTCCTTCACGCGCACACATACAATAATTCTTCACCTAGCTTGTACATTGCTTAGGCATTTATCTCCAGGAGCTTGGACTTCCAGGCAACTCCGAAGAGTATGTTCCTAATAGCCTCCCAGTCTCTTCTTCGGTGGTGGAAATTTAGCCTCTTCTCAAGCAATCTGTATCCTCCTTAAGCAACCTGTTCTAAGTTGATAGTGAAGAATAGATCAAGTGTTGTGTAAACAAAGTAGAGTAATGTAGATTTGTTTTTGATTTCATTGCTTAAATTTATAGGTGAATCTTAGATAGCTCACTCCTCTTCCAGTATCTTGCTTCAGTAGCTGGATGATGCATATGTTTTAGAACCTGTATGATACCTATAATATTTGTAGGTTCGCTTTCCTGATCTAATTTTAGGATCACTTCCTTGTCTATATTTTATTCACATTAATTTTACTTGAGAGTTCAACTAATTATTTTCCTTAACTCAGAAGGAAGCGTTGGCAGCAGTGAATTAGAGGGAGATAGTTCAGATGGGAGGGAGATAGTTTAATTGATAGTTCAACTAATTATTTTCCTTAACTCAGAAGGAAGCGTTGGCAGCAGTGAACTGGAGGGCGATAGTTCAGATGGGAGGGAGATAGTTTAATTGATAGTTCAACTAATTATTTTCCTTAACTCAGAAGGAAGCGTTGGCAGCAGTGAACTGGAGGGAGAGGTGGAGCTCTGGTACAGAGGTGAAGGCACCGAGCACTGGAGGACTTGTTTGATTAACGTGCGTCTGCAGGTCACGCCCACTCTTCAGGTCATGAGGTTAGCATCGGATTTTTAGCGCATTTTTTAATTTATGGAAAAAATGCACTATTGTCCTCGCCATGTCCGTCTATCTGTCTGTCCGTCCCGTCCGTCCGTGACCTCAAGTTTTCGTCGACGAGAAAATGCGCTCTCTGTCACTCACTGCAGTGAGTACTGAGTTATATTTTTTATTTCATTTCTTATTTCTATTTGGTAGTTGAATAAATAATTAATTGGAGCGAAATTCAAGAAAAAGGTCCTATATTCCNTCATCACACTAAACCAGCATCCTTCCTGGCTAAAAGCTCTCCCTAGACCCTCTGCACTGCCTACAAAGTGCGTTTATTATGTGTTTATAATATTATTTAGGTTTAGTAGCTCTCCCTCGACCCTCTGCACTGCTTACAAAGTGCGTTCATTATGTGTTTAAAATATTATTTATGTTTAGTATCATCACACTAAACCAGCATCCTTCCTGGCTAAAAGCTCTCCCTAGACCCTCTGCACTGCCTACAAAGTGCGTTCATTATGTGTTTAAAATATTATTTATGTTTAGTATCATCACACTAAACCACCACCCTGCCCGGACATGAGACTAAACCTAGACACTATAGGCTCTCTCTCTACTCAGTGCACTGCCCAGGAAGTGCTACTTTCTTGCTATGGCAATCTTTATATTCTAAGATTAGATCATCTGCATTTCAGACGTAATATTCACTAGACGTGGTGGAGATTGATGGAAAAGTACTAGACCTGAGCCAGCATGGACAACATCAGGTGATAGATAACACGATCAAGACCTCAGTATTGGGCGGAAGCCGTGAGTCTATTAAAAGGCTGGGAACATTAGTAAGGCCCCAGTAACTGACAAGTACGCCACCATGTAACTTTCGTTACTTGGAGCTACTCCGACCTAACAGTCGACGTCTTAGCCTTATACTCATAATATAATAACTCATACAACCACCCCGTATCAGTTCTCCGGACAGATAGTGTCTTATTTATCCCTCACGAACTTAGTCAACGAATCCTTGTCCTCGGGTTTAGATGGAAATTATACAAAATCTAGTATCGCATGGATGTACCTTCGGACAGACATAGTGCGTCTCGTCTCACTAAGCTTATGCACGTACTATTAGATATTATTTTAATTATTAGTAAAATATATTTCATGTGTCAGTGGGCGGATGGGGCGCGCTGCAAGTTCAGCTGATCCAGGAGGTGGTCGGGACGAGTCGTCGCATGGGGGCGGTGGAGGCCTGCTGTCGTCACCAGGCCTTCCTTCTTGCTGCTCTCTTGCACCACCTCACTCCAGCCCAGCGGCAGGAGGCTGCACTCATGCTGCACACGCTCACTCAGCAGGTGGGAATTGTACCTTCAGACAAAGGTTCATCATAGGAAGTAGTCTCCGGCTACCTGGAATAGTTTTCGTACGGTTTTCCAATTAGAATTCAACACGGACGTAAATATTCTCTCCTTTAGACTGTTTTAGTCAATTTGTTCTGCCTTATTCGGCTGGTCTACACAAAAATGTCACCATTTAACTTCTTACCCCGACTTCATAGTAAGGGTCCTTTGCAACAAAATGCCATGTAGTCGGTTCGCTTTATTCGAATTCATACCTAATGGTTAAGGTATTTAATAGTAATACTAATAAGCCATGTGTCCAGGTTCACATATACACCCAATCCTCATGGTTTAGATCATATGTACAGATATGCCGTGTATTCAGGTTCGTATATTCACCAATTCCTCATAGTTATGGTCTTTTACAACAATATATTGTGTCATAGTAGTATTCCTCATAGTTATGGTCTTTTACAACAATATATTGTGTCATAGTTTTCCTCATAGTTATGATCTTTTACTCCAACATATTGTGTATCGTGGCATATTCCTCTGTATAATTCCATGTTCCACCCAACAGTCTGCTGCTCAGGCCCTCAACGCCCCGAACAGCTCCAGCAGCAGTTCAGGCAGCTCTGCAGTCTCTGGGTCTGTCGCAGCCATCGCCCAGCAGTCTACTGCTGCGGCAACCCCACACAACCTCCTCCCTCCTGTTAACCTCCTCAGTATACCCTTCTGCCGGTGGGTTAGGAATAATCAACCGTATTATAATGTGAGGTTATGGTTAGTAGGTGTGAGGCGATTAAAAATGGGATGCTCAGTATCCTGCCGGTTGGTTATGAGTTCTCAGCTCACATATTGCGAGGTTATGGTTATTAGGTTTAAAGTGATGAAAACTGGGATGCTTAGTAACACTCTCTGCCGGTTGGTTATGAATAATCAACCGTATTATAATGTGAGGTTATGGTTAGTAGGTTTAAAATGATGAAAAATGGGATGCTTAGTAACACTCTCTGCCGGTTGGTTATGAATAATCAACCATATTATAATGCGAGGTTATGGTTAGTAGGTTTAAAGTGATGAAAACTGGGATGCTCAGTATCCCTTCTGCCGGTGGGTTAGGAATAATCAACCGTATTATAAGGCGAGGCAGAAATTAGCTGGTTAGCAGGTACAACGTTATGACAGTTGAAATAATAATGATAACCAAATTACCATTTTCCATGCCTTTGTATCCATTTGATAGGTCCGTCAAAGTACAACCCCCCAAAAGCGGCCATCAGTTGCGGAAGTTCGCCAAGGTGTGCAGCGATGAGCCTGCTGGCCCCTTCATATTCTCGCCCTTCTCATCTCTCACGAACGCCGTGGCCAAACCGGCCAATACTTTCGGTGAATCATCAATACATTACTTTATTTGTGACTTTAAAAGCAATATATTTGTTTGGTGTAGTATGAATGAAGTATTTCACTATTGGCATCTGTTGTTAAATCCTCTGCTAGATTTTGATATTCACTTGTATATCTCCGTAGTGGACTATACGATTCGAATCTAATTATGCGACCACGTAACTAAATGATTTATTCTTCTCTGGATAAAAATATACTTTGAGTAAAAATAAGAAAAAAACTGCATCCTACCTTAAATTCTATTGTAGAGAACACATTCTCAGCATACACTTTTTCTGCAAGTCGCAGTACATTAATTTTGTTTACTAGGTAATATCATGTCAATAGAGGAAAAACGAGTAAAAATCACAGAAAATGTCATTTATTCTACATCTACATTATCAACAAAGGAAGAGAAAGACTTCAGAGTACTTTTAGTAATTGATGATCACACTCTGCACGCTTCAAATGTTTTAAAATTGAGTTTTATTTCAAGTGTCCCATATTACCCCGTGCCCTTGGTTAGTTCAGGAGGCTTTTATTTTGCGTCTGGCACCTTATGAATATAATATGGAATTTTTCAGAGATGCCACACAATAACCCACGTAAATACCTTTAAAATGAGCTCAAATTTGCACATGAAATGTTCATAGTAAGCAGTTATTAAGGAAAAATTGTCCCTTATTATTGTACCCTGTTTGACGGTATGCATGCGCCAAAAGGAAGTTGTGGGATAATTTTATTAATAATAAAAATTCTGTAATTAGTTTCTAGCAAAGGCTGGCAAAATATATTTATAGGTGCTGTGGCAATTTTCTTTGTCTTGAAATTAATATGGACAAATCCGCTAGAAATAAATTACCTTTGTGCCATGATTATGTACTGTATGTTATTTGCATTGACTGGTTAACTAGTTATTCATTTAACTAGTGCATTAACTAGTTAGTGTTTATCAGTCATTTTATTGCATTTTTGACAATTTGGAGTCCATTAATGACTTGAATGACTAAGGTATAACAAAAAATTTCTTTTTCAATGATAACAAATAAACTAAAGCCTAAAGTTTTAAAGTGAAAACTGATAAACTTGGAGTAATTGCAGAGAAAATTCAAACCATCCTTAATTCCTCATACTTGAAATGTTACAAATATTTATTTCTTTTTAACATTTTCCAGGTAAAACAACTGTTGTTTATAGTTTGAAGCAATTTGTGACTAATACAAGATACCAGCAGCTAAATTGTAGAGAAAATGGCTACTGGCAGAAGTACTATTACAGCACAGCAGCATCAGCGCTACACCAATGATGAGAAGTAAGAGATCCTTGATTTTACTTCCTGTGTCTTATAATTATAGAGCCTTAGACAACAGATTAGAGTTTTAAACCAGCTTTACTGTTGTCCCTTAGCGCTTCCTATGTCTTCAGGGTAGCTGGGCAACACACATTTACAAATATAGTTTTAAAATAGCTTATTATTTAAGGACACTCGCAAGGTCGCTCTGTTTGTGTTTATGGAACAACAGCGCTCGTTTTCTAAGGCCACCAAAGCTGCCATGTCATACATCAGCTGGATAAATACTTTTGAATCCAATCTTAACACTTAATTATTGTTGAAAATTTTAAAAATTTTAAAATAGCTTATTATTTAAGGACACTCGCAAGGTCGCTCTGTTTGTGTTTATGGAGCAACAGCGCTCGTTTTCTAAGGCCACCAAAGCTGCCATGTCATACATCAGCTGGATAAATACTTTTGAATCCAATCTTAACACTTAATTATTGTTGAAAATTTTAAAAATTTTAAAATAGCTTATTATTTAAGGACACTCGCAAGGTCGCTCTGTTTGTGTTTATGGAGCAACAGCGCTCGTTTTCTAGAGCACCAAAGCTGCCATGTGAGTTGTATGCAAGGTAACGCGTTCACTGCTCGAGTGCACATGTTTGCGGTGCACCACTTAAGTCTGCGCCGTGACGCAGCTCATGACCTGGTTGGCATGAGCACTGACATGCTGGCGAGTAGGTCGCGGCCTTCCTAGGTCAAGACTTATCACTTTTTAGCGCATTTTCTCATTTATGGAAAAAAATGCACTATTGTGCTCGCCATGTCCGACTGTCTGTCCGTCCGTCTGTCCGTGACCTCAAGTTTTCGTCGAGAAAATAAGCTCTCTGTCACGCACTGCAGTGAGTACTGAGTTACATTCCTCAAATTAATTGCGACCATCAAATCATTTGTCTGTGGAGACGCAATCGTCGCTTTTATTTCATGATTTACCCATACATGCTCGGTAATTTTATGGTTTGGTGTATCAGTTGAGATGACTCGAGAACTATTCTTTTTAGTGCATTTTCTCATTTATGAAAAAATGCACTATTGTGCTCGCTATGTCCGTCTGTCTGTCCGTCCGTGAATTAATGTTTTCGTCGACGAGAAAATGCGCTCTCTGTCATTCACTGCAGTGAGTACTGAGTTATATTTTTTATGTTATTTGTATTAGTAACGTAAATCCTATTTTTGGTTATTAAAGTTTCAAGATTATCATTTTTACGTTATATTTAGTAATGGTATCGATGGTGTTTTCCATTACCTTCCTCAATTCACTCCAAATATTGGCCTTGCTCTCCGCATGTAGCTTTCTTGAAAATTATTTTTAATTCAATATCGTATTCCCCTAGTTTATTGATGACCTGTCGTTTTTTTGGAATATTGCGTACTTCTCGTATATGTTATGTATTTTCGTTTTGTCTTTTCAGCTTTATTTATTAAAATTTGAAATTAATCATAAAGTAGGGAATAATTTAAAGAAGACTTGAGTGGTCTCTTCCCCCCGCTGACACGCGACCTACATTAATACTCGTAACCTTCGTCTGGCTGCGCTCATGACTTTAATCTCCGACTACTTTGTTGATCTGTCTAGCTGCACTTGGTCCTTGGTGCTCGGATACATTAACTATTAACCATGCTATTTCTGTGATCATAAGGCCTAGTAACGAGAAATACCCCCAGTCTATAGAAAAAGGATTAAGAGAATGTTTACAGTTTAATTCAGCTATATATACGAGCACAGTTGTTTGCACGGCTTCAATGAAACTGAGAGGCCTTAAGAAATCAAGTCCGCTATCTTTCTTTTACATTGTTCAAGGTTGGCAGATTTGTGTATTTTTCATAATGAGCTTAACGGTCGCATAGAAATTATGTATCTGTAGCGGATGCTGCTTCTTAAATCTTATTTAACAGAAAGTTCTTTGTTCTCTATGCTGAACTTGCGTTCGTCATACTCATAAAATTGGGGAGAAACTAATTGAAATAAATTTACGTGACATGCACAAGCTCAGTGGGATGTTTGGGAGTCCTTGATCACAAAGTAAAGTGTCGTAGCTTATTTAAGCTGCTTTGAAGTATCGTGTTCTCTGATAAGCCTTTGGTAAGTATTCAACTGCCCCCCAAAAATGTATAGTTTAAACAATTTTTATTGAGATTGCATAGCATTCTTATCTCGGTAATGTTAAAGGTAACCGATCTTGCTTAGAACAATCGTTAGAATCGACTACAGATTATGTCTCCTTATTGTGAAGCATTATTCTGTTTTTATGTTCTGGTGATCAAAATCTCAATAAGAGGGAACGGAATCCACGGTCACGCTCGAGACATTCTTAGTTCGCCGCTTCTTATTTCTGCGCATTTAACTACACTGACTTACGAACATCACCGATATTCATTTCTGATTTCAATGGCGTAACAATGCAATCCTTGTTTTCTGACGACGTAGTGAAGGAACTAGATTAAATTATCGAACTAATTTGTGTACAATCAATGCATGTGACCCCTATAAGTTCATTGATACTCAATGCGTAGATAATCTAGTGGAGTTCGCAGAACTGGCGCGTATTTGCTACGCTAATATTATTTTCTGAGGCCACCGCTAAATAAAGCTTAGACGCAACACGCGCGTGTGCGATGTTTAAATCCACGTTGGCCGTAGCCAGAACCTCAGCTGACATTACAGGTACAGCTGCTGTGTGTTACAGCCGCTTCATTACGCTGCCTTCCTCCGTACCAACGACACTCGGCGACCAGCGTGCGTCCCGACATCTGTGTTGTATTGAATATAAGTGCGCCGTAAAAAAGAAACTAATTCTTTGTGATGCTCGAGATTAGTAAACCAGAATTGGTTCTTGTATTTTGACTTAAACATTGTCCCGGCCAACGCAGTTTCTAACTCCTTTCTTGATTAAGGATCAAATTCACCTGACGTTTACTCCGTGCGTAAGTACTAAGTAATCTATAAGTAGTAATGTCACTAGACTGCTTGAATCGCAGATTCACTAGAAATTTAAAAGCGAAGAAAACGCCACAAAAATTCAGCATTTCTCTATTGAAAACGTTTCGGAGACCAGCTCCATCGTCAGTTCGATAAATCTAGAACACAAATACAGTCAGAAAATTAACAAAGTTTAGAGTCATAAGAAAAAAAACAACAGAAGTGAAAACCTAAATCTACAGGCGAACTGACGATGGAGCTGGTCTCCAAAACGTTTTCAATAGAGAAATGCTGAATTTTTGTGGCGTTTTCTTCGCTTTTAAATTTCTAATTATCTATAAGTAGTTGTTAGTTTTTCACTAAAACGATTGAGAAGTTCTATGTTTGTTTTGAGCTATTGTGGTTCTATTAGAAAATATTTATTGTCAAGGTCGTAATATTTGTGCCAAAACTGTTAGCGTAGCCCCTGTAGGTAGTTCTGAAATTAGGAGCACAGGCAAGTTGCACACTTATACGACGAAGCGTTTCTTGTTACGATGAAGCAATTCGCCCTTGCCCCTTACATGCGTTCTTGGCGGACTTTTTCTCAATTAGTGTCTGAGGGAAATATTAATGCATAAAAAAAACAGTCGAATGAGACTAAGTCGGGGCTATAAGGTGAATGCCGAATAATTTCTTATCGAAATTCGCGTAGCACAGCTCTTGTCTGCCGAGCGCCATATGTGTGTCTGCCTTGTGTTGGAAGAGAACGCGCGGATGGAGCTTCCTGGGGCGATTTTTTGCGAAAAAGATCCCCTCTGCACCCCAGAAGACTGTGGCCATGACCTTTCCTCTTGAGCGCTCGTATTTTCCTTCGACTGGCCCACTTCTACATCTGTGCAGCCACTGCTTCGATTGAGTTTTGTCCTCAG